CCCCAAAACCCCAAAACCCCAAAACCCCAAAACCCCAAAACCCCAAAACCCCAAAACCCCTTTGCATCAAAGCCGAATTGAGAGACTATTTATTGCATTCTACCTTCTTCCTCCTTTCTCATATTGTTCAAAGAACGAGAATATGATATTGACTGCTAGAAGAATACCAGTACCTGATCCAATAGCTCCAAGCATATCTGCAAAGACTGTTAGCAATCCAACCATGATTCCTCCGAGAGCTGCTGCAGTTGGGATGTATCTATTGAGCTGTTTAATCATTGAGCCTTCCTTCTCAAATCCTTGCAATACGAGATCTTGCTCCACAAAAGATTTCACAACATCTCTTGCGCCCATTCCAGAAACTTCCAGCCAGAGTCTTCCCAAGATGGCACATGAAGAAGTGATGAAGAGCAAGTAGAACAGCCCATGGAATGGGTCTCCAATGAAATGAGCGAAGTCACTAGGAGGGGACATGTAGTAAGCAAGTCCACCAACTGGGACTGATCTAGCTCCGAATTCCACGTCTTTCCATTTTCCGAGAAGCTCTATTATCAAGTTTCCTTTAAATCTCTTGTGCAAGATTTGTGAGAAGAAATAAATGTTTGAGATGAATGCCGCCTGCAAGATGATGGGGAAGGTAGACACATAGAATAGCTTGATGGTGTATGGATACGTAACTCCTCTAACTTTTCTCTGTCGAAGAGTGAGGTTTACTTTGAAACCTTGGAAGTAAATTACCACTAAGACTACGAAAATTGTTCCTATTAAATTCGTAACGTTCGGAGCCTCTTGCCTGTTTAAAGCTTGATACAATGCATCCCATTTATTACTTTTTGTTGCCAAGAGGTGGAAAAGAGAGACTAATGCTCCTTCAAACTGAGTTCCTGAGTCTGATTTGATAGTAATTGGAGAAAGAGCCTTCCATACAATGTTCTCACAAATGTTGGTTGCAATAAATAAGGAAATACCAGAGCCTAACCCATATCCTTTCTGAAGCATTTCATCAAGAAGAAGGACTATAACTCCTGCAAATACGAGTTGAAGAATAAGAAGTGTGGCGTTGATAAGTCCAATATCCCATACTCTTCCATACATCCCTGATAAAACATAGGCAACAGCTTCTCCGACAGTCATCAATAACCCAAACAACTTCTCAGCAGTACTGAGTAATTCTTTGTCTTCTGGAATCGAAGGGTTCACATTGATTAATTTTGTTCCAACAAAGAGCTGGATGATCATTGATGATGTGACAAGAGGTGAGATTCCCAACTCCATCAATGTTCCCCTATTACTTGCCAAGATGACTCTCACCCAATACAATGGATCTGATGATGAATTTTGTGCTGCTCCATATAGAGGAATTTGAGAGCATATCAAGTAAATGTAGAGTGTGACTGCAGTCCAGATCAGCTTTTCATAAAAGCTTGACTATAAAAGATTTAGATATTTGTAATTTTAACAGCTGTTAAACACTATCTATCTCAAAATTCTTCAGATTTAATGAAGAATCAAATAAAAAGGAGCATTGCTAATAGAAATGGCTACTATAGCTTACCTTCCTTTTACTCTCCATGATAGAGGGAACTAATCTCTGGAATGGACGCATAAGGTCCAAGAACCTGAAATGATTCTCCATTTGTATTTATTTATTCTATATTTTTTCATAAAATAGGGGTTTTGGGGTTTTGGGGTTTTGGGGTTTTGGGG